CCCCCAGAAATTGAGAACTATTCTAAAATTCATATGGAAACAAAAAAGTCTCAGAATAGCCAAAACAATTTTGAAAAAGGATGGAGGACTTACACTTCCTGATTTCAAATTTAATACAAAGCCAAAGTAACAAGACAGCATGATACTAGCATAAGGATATAGATCAATACAACAGAATTGAGAGTCCAGAAATAAGCCTTTACATTTACAGTCAATTGATTTTTGACAAAAGTATCTAGACACTTTGATGAGGAAAAAAGTTTTTCTCAGTGAATAGTGTTAGAACAAATGGATATCTACATGTAAAAAAAAGAAGTGGGACCACTACTTCACACCATAAGCAAAAATGGGACACAGACCTAACTAACAGTCAAATTATAAAACTTTAGTAGGAAATGTAGAAGCAAATCTTTGCCTTGGGTTAGACAATGATTTCTTAGATACAATGCAAAAGCAGAAGAGATGTGGTAGGTAGAAAAATTGCCCCTCACTGATGTCCACAACCTAATTCTTAGAATCTGTGAATATGTTACCCCACATGGCAAAAAGGTTGCAGATGGAATTAAGGCTGCTAACCAGATGATCTTAAATTAGGGAGATTATCCTAGTTTATTGTAATGGATCCAATGTAATCACAAAGGTCTTTAAAAGTATAAGAGGACTATGAGCCAGGGAATGCAGGCAGCCTCTATAATCTGAGAAAGCCTTCCCATAAAGCCTAAAATCTCAGAGCAGCCAATGCCTTGATTTTACCCCACTTTGACCATCATGAGACCCGGTTTGGATTTTTCAACTATAGAACTGTAAAATAATAAATTTGCATTGTTTTAAGCTACTACATTTTTGGTAATTTTTTACAGCAGCCATAAGAAACTAATACAAATGATGAATTGATAAACTGAATTTCATCAAATCAAAAACTTTTTTTGGCTTTAAAAGTCACCATAAAGAAAGCGAAAACACAACCTACAGAATGGCAGAAATATTTGCAAATCAAGCATCTGGTTAGGAACACATCTACAAGATATAAAGGATTTTTACAACTCAATAAAAAAGACAGCACAAGTTAAAAATGGATAAAGAATCTAAACATACATTTCTGCAAAGAATCTACATAAATGACCAAGAAGTACATGAAAAGATGCTCAATATCATTAATTAAGAAAATAAAAATCAAAACATGGTGAGGTACCACTTCAAACTCAATAGATGGCTACAATCAAAAAGATGATTACAAGTGTTACAAAGATGTGGAGAAATTGGAACCCTCATGCATTGCTGGTCCAAATGTAAAACAATATAGCTACTTTGGAAGTTTGGTAGTTCCTCAAAAAGTTAAACATAAAATTGCCACGTAACTGAACAATTCTATTCCTGGGCATATACCCAAGAGAAATGGAAACAAAACCTTGCCTATGAATGTTCATTACAGCTTTATTCACAATAGCAACAAAGTACAAACAAACCAAATGTCCATCAACTGATGAATGGATAAAATATGGTATATCCATACAATGGAATATTACTCTGTGATAAAAAGGGAATAAAACATTCACATATGGTACAACATAGATGAACCTTGAAAATATTATGCTAAGTCAAAGAAGGTACACACACAAGCCCACATATTGTATGACCCTTCACATGAAATATACAGAATAGGCAAATCTATAAAAACATAAAGTAGATTAGTAGTTGGCAGGAGATGGTGGTAGAGAAGAATGGGCAGTCACTGCTAATAGGCACAGGATTTCTTCCAGGGTAATGAAAATGTTCTGGAATTACAGAGTAGTGATAGTTGCACAATTTTAAAAATATACTATACACTACTGAATTACATGCTTTAAAAGGGTGAATTTATGGCATATGAATAATTTCCTACTTTAATAAAAAGACAAAACAATACAAATGTTCACAAGGATGTGGAA